TGACCACTAGGCCACTGGTTTAGGTGCTCTAATATAATTTAGAGAGATAAACCAATTTATATACGATGCCCACACTTAAGTGACTTAAAGGAAATCAGAACCTAAAATTCAATAGTCATAGAATAAATAAGAACGCACACAATATCATTAAGTTAAGAATTAAATTACTAGAAAACTGGTAGACGGGTATCTAAACGGTCTAAAAAGGACCAAAACGGATAGAAACCAGGCAGATAGAGCCAACACACACTATATAGAAACCCTAGTAAATAGAGCCATAGAGCTACTCCTCCATCTTATTATTACTCTTAGAGCGTAGCGAACGAACTAACCGAGTAATAGAGCGACGGAGGTTAGAGACCTTATCCTCTAGAGTAACCACGCGCTCGGTCAGAGCCTAGTAAGACGACGACTAAGCGCTAGAGCGGAGCAACTAGACCTAAAGTTAGCTAACGCGGTCTAGAATAATCTAGAATAGAATATATACCCTCTTACGAGGTGACTTAGAAGGAGAACTAGTAGATCTCTTGCGAGACCCGTTAGTAGCACGAGGTGGGCGGGAAGGAACAGCACGAATCTCTTCTGCGGCCTTAGTGGCCAAAACCGACTCCCTAGAATAGGTAGCCTAAGCGCTAGGAATCTCGCGGCGACTGAAAATTATAAGCTGAGGTTAATGATAATTAACGGTTTCTAAACTCACACTTTAATGACCTCTAGGAAGAGCTTATAGCGCTCCCTAAACTCCCTGCGCATAGAAGCCAGGTGACTGCTAGAACCGCCGAGAGTCTCGCGGACGCGAAGATCGTTATATACATCTTACACACGAATAGGAACCTAAAAACGCATTAGCATGGACGACTTTAGATTACCCTAGACCAAAACAGCCTAATAGACTCACCTAAAGATAAACTTTACCGAGGACGGCATAGCGGCGGTAGCGGGTAGGGAGCTTAAAGATTAGGCGTATAGGCCCGTCGCGGTTAGTAGAGTAGTAGCTAATGCTAGAGTTAGAGCGGAAGAGATATTTAGAGCCGGTGGCGTGAGCCTTAATGTACTTAAAGCACATCGAACCGTAGTTCGCCGTTTTCCTATGGCGCAAACCGCGACCACGTTTAGTATCTTTGGCGACCTAGGCCTTATTATTACTAGGGCTGGGTTTAGAGCGAATATTAAGGTCCTAAAAGGACCTAGAGCGACTAAGTCGGTCTATATTAGACCGAAAAGAGGAACGGCGTTTAGAGCAAGGCGGCGAAGGCGTGAACTCTCGATTATCGTCTACGACGAGATCTTCTTTATCCTCTAAAGGAGGTAGAGTAGACAGGCGGCGCGAGTAGGTGTAGGTAGGCTTTATAGCCACCTCTTCCGCAACACCAGTACTAGGATCACCTGGATTAGAGCGACTAGTGGCCACGTCAGTGGTAATAGTAGTAGTAGCCTTAGCTACCTTCTTCTCTAACTTGGAGCGCGCCTTCACACTACTACGATGAGTGGATTTTTTAGCCGGTATAGCCGGGGTAGAGGTAATCCCTTTAGAGCGGGTCTTGCGAGAGGAGGAGGCAGGCTTGGGAACAGGACTAGTATTAGACATCTATACACACACGTTAGCTAGAGATCTGAGAGTGGAATACTCGTTCAGCCTCAAAGGCGATTAAAGAAGCTAAATTAGTGACCGCAACAACGCGAATAGATTATATAGGACCAGCTCTAACGAAAATAGACTACTCTAGACCCGAACGGATCTAAACTAAAGGAGATAGTATACGAATTAACGACTTACCTTAAGAGTAAGGTGGATGTACTAGAGAAGAAAATTTAGAATAAGAAAACTAAATATAAGCTTAGTTAATGTGGCGGTTATATGACCCGCGGAGCTACCTCTAAGGTAGCAGCCATGAAGTAAGGGATAAGCGCGTGCATAAATAAAAGTGAACTGGAGCTCAAGTTCACCGATGTAAAGACTATCGATAACGTCACATAGATTCAATTGGATGCGCGCATAAACATGACGCTTTTGGAATTACGGATTTACGTATAGCTGAGTACTTCGGGGCGAAGCATAAAAAGAAGAAGGATATTATTAGGGCTAACACTAGGATGGACTTAACTGGACCACTATGGTCTAGTACGGTCCGTGATAGGTGGACCTAGGTTAAGCCAGCTAGAATAAGCGAGACCACTATATAAGTAGGCCGCATATACTTGATTCCTACTCTTTAGGAATCAACCTCGTTAGGAGAGTAGACTACCCTTTTAAATATATTCCCGAATCCTCCTATGACCTGTTAGACTGCTATCCTACGTCTACAATCCTTACACCTACCTAAGGCTAAGTCCTAACAATATCTATTATCTACCCTTAAGGTAAACTACCCTAGGTATATAATAATAATTATTATAGATAATCTTGCACTTTATACGAACTAATAGATTAAGCTACTTATACTTAGCGCTAGCTATATTATACGGTATATACTACCGTACTTACCTAACTTTAATTTTATTAAGCTTATATAGGTAGTAATAAAGGTATAGATTTATAGATAGTATACCTAGATATATTAGTAATCTCGAACTTTTAAGAACTTTCTCTATATTATATTTATATATAGCTATACTAATTAGTAGACTCTATACTTCTTTAAATATACTATAGATAGATACTATATTAACGAGACGCTCTAGTAGAAGGTAGTCGCTAATTTAGAGAGGTTTAGATAAGATAGAGGTGGTAGAGAGATTACTAAAGTTAAGGAGATTAGGAGACTTTTTTATAAACTTATTAAGTAACTTACTCGTTACTAACTCGCCGATAAGTAAGTTACTTAGCTAGCTAGTAATAGTCTATATATATATCTATTTTAGGCACTATTCATTAAGTATATAGCCTTAATATATAAATATATACTTCTAAATATACTCTAAGAAATACTATACCATCCCTATCTAAATACTAGTTATACTAGTTATAGTAAACGCCTAGAGCGAGGACGCCGCCTTACTTACCTTAAGTTACTCCTTATACTTATAAAGGTATAGACGTGCGTCTAGTAGAATACTAAGTAGAATATCTACTATCTTCGCGGCTTTATAATAAGTAGTTCTAGGCTAAGTTATCTTCTTAATATAGCGGTAAGTATAGTAGTTATTATCTATATATAGTCTTAATTTATATATTCTAGCCCTCGTCTTATTATAAGTCTCTATCTCCTTACGCTATTTAAGAGCTAATAGTACTATATCCACCTAGTAACGCCCTAGTTATACTAGACTACTAAAGGTTTCTATAACTCGTGTCTAAGGGGGTGTTTTATAACGAGTCTTACGAGTTAGTAAATAATTTAAACTATAAGTAGATAGAGAGCGAGATTAAGGTTAAGATTAAGGAAACATAGGTATCTATATAGGTATTCTAGGATTAAATCTATAATACTATAATTCTATCTAACGAAGTAGTTAAGTATATATAAGCTTATCTTTATTATCTTAATAATATCTTACTACCGCCTCCTCGTGCTTAATTATTATCTATCTTATCTACTTATCTTAAAGCCTCGTATTCCGCTCCTTACGATCTAACTTAGCCTTCTTATATTATAATCTCTTTATTTTAAGGCGCTCGAGTATAGAAGTAGTACTTCCGTTAACGGCGGTTAACGAGGTACTAGTTCTACTACTAGTTCGAGACTTCCTTAGGCATGGTTAAGTAATAATCTTATAGAATAAGTCTATTAACGGCTTATCCTTAGTTACCCCTTAAATACTATTAATAATATTATTAGCCTATAGCTCTAAGATAGTCTTATCTATCTTATAGTAGAGTATTCTATTAGGTAATATAATCTTATAGTACTAACCTTAGTAGTTTATATATATCGCCTTACTATACTAGAGCTTACTCTAAATATTATTAATAATAACTTCTTAGATACGGTCTCGCTATCTTTGCTCCTCCTATAATTTAAATAGCTATTTTAAGTATCCCTTAAGGTTCGGATCTATAGGTAATAATACTAGACTAGTAGAAACTATACTAGTAAGTAGTAATAGCGTAGGAGACTTCAAATTAGATACTATAGCCTTCTTACATCCTAGTAGCTAATAAGACTTATAGATAATAGTATTCTCAAAGATAAGGAATATAGCCTCTAGTAGATCCTTTCTTACTAGGCTATAGATCTTATTAAGGAAGGTAAGAAGCTTATCCTAGTTATCTAGACTCTAGTCTAGAAGTATTAACTATTTCCTAGTATAACTAGATATTCTAAGCTTTATAGTAAAGCCTTAAGTCTTAAATAGCTAGTTATTAGTGCCGAGAGCCTTATTAATTAACTACTAAATCTCCTCCTTATATAACTCCTTCTTAAACTTATACTAGGCTTCCGTCTTTAGTAATATAGCCTTAATAATCTTTCTAAAACTATCTACTCTAAGTTACTAATTTATATAGATAGACTATATTATCTTATTAAGAGCCGCGTTATTATTCTATAGGTTCTCCTTCTTCTTCTTCTTAACTATATCTCTATAAACTAAAGTAGAGTTATTAGTATTATTAAGTATATTATTTAGTAAGGCTAGAGAATCGCTTAATAAGGGTACGTTAGAGGGCGCTAGTAGTATATTTTTATACCTTACTACTATCTTTATAGCCCTTAATACCTTATCTATACTATACTAGAGTGCCTTTAATATAGATATATATAGCTATAGCCTAGGAGGTGGTAGTAGAGGTTCTATTAAGTTATCCTATCCGAATTAAATACCTTTACGCTACTTAGAAGGTATAATAGATAGTATAAAATAGTTAAAAAAACACTAATATATGGCTAATATCGTATAATACTAATATATAATAGGTATTTTAATAGGTATATGAGTATTCGTCGACGATGCCGTAAAATATTAATTATATATAAAAACGCGTGTTGGTGGCACAGACGTGCATCGGGCGCCAAGCTTTCCCATGTAACTATGGACAAACGGATCCTTCACATCTTTAGTTCGGCTGGGCTCTGTATATCCTCACACAATCTACCCACGACGGCCATTTTGTTTACATTCCCGACGTTGTTAGCAAGATCTTCAACTTTGGCCGTCCAATCCCTCTCGTGTCCGTCTCCAAGGATGGCAAGTCACTCCCAGAACCATACGCCTATCCAGACATCCTCGCATCGTCCCTCGCCAACGCCACCTTCGAACCCTCAAAGATCGTGAAGATCAACGGAGAGGACGCGAAGACCTACCTCGAGACCTTCAGCCAGTTTGGCTCCCTGCAAGATCGCGATGCCCTGTACAACAACATCTTCTATGAGCTCGCCATTGTGAGTCTGGGTAGCTCTGGCGCTGGCTCAGGTACCTTTACAGGAGGAGGCCGAGGACGATGGGTCTACCCTGGGCCAACCACAGAGCTGACTTTCGCAAACGGCTCTGTTGCCCAGTTCCCCAATTTTGCTCGTGTTCTTGTTCCATTCACGGGAATTCAGTCAGGTGAGGATGTATACACCCAGTACTTCTCAACGCCTGCAAACACTTCTGCCGGTATCAACATACCAAATCAACCCGAAACCACTCCCACTCCCACGCCCACTACCGCTTCTGCCGCTGCTACACCCGCTCCCGGCTACCCACAGCCAGTTGTCCGAGCCTCCAACAATGCGATTGGAGGATACTATCTTGAAGAGGATGGGTTTGAGGATGTTGCTGTCCTGAGCATACCAAGTTTCGGCGGTGCGGGCGGCCAAAATTCCCCAATGGACTTCCAGACCATTGGTAGAGACTTTGTGCAAAAAGCCAAGGCCGAGGGCAAGAAGAAACTCATTGTCGACCTTTCTGCAAACGGTGGGGGAATCATATTGCTTGGTTATGATGCCTTCAAATACCTATTCCCCAAAGCGACAGCTTTCGCTGCATCTGATCGATTTCGCATCTTTGAAGCTACAGATCTCATCGGCAAGAAGTTCTCAGACGTTGCCGGTCAGTACCCACGCACTTTGGACCCGGCTCTCGGAGAGGTCGAGGCAACCGTTGTAGCCGATATTTTCAACTACCGTTCGGATCAGAAGCCTGAGGGCGTCCCTTTTACCTCGTGGGATGATAAGAATGGACCTGTTGCAAATAAGGGTGACAAATTCACGTCTCTTATCCGTTGGAATCTTTCAGACGTCTTGACTCCGTGAGTACATCCGATGATAGGATGAGTTGATATGTGCTAACATGTCAAAACAGCTACAACGGCGGTATCAATGCGATTTCCAACGAGCCGGTAGCGACGATGGAGCAACCATTTGCCGCTGAAGACATCGTCGTCGTCACTGACGGCTACTGTGCATCAACTTGCACAATCTTTTCCGAACTCATGCGCCAAGTCGCTGGTGTCAAATATGTTTCCTTGGGAGGCCGGGCTTTCGATGGACCTAGTCAAGCGGTGGGAGGCGTCAAGGGGACAAACAACTTGCCCTGGCCCATCATACAACAGGAGGTCGCCCTGGTCTACAATTACTCGACCCCATCAGAAGCTCAGAAGTATGATACGACGAGCTTGATCGAATACAATGACAACCTCCCATTTCTTCGCGCAGGTCCCATTAGCCCAAACACGAACTTCCGCGATGGAATTAGGGTCGGTGACGAGACTGGCACGCCTCTGCAGTTCGTGTACGAAGAGTCCGATTGCCGAATCTTCTACACTCCAGAGATGACGGTCGATGTTACCAACATCTGGAAAGCGGTTTACGACAGTGCTTGGGGTGGCCAAAGCCACTGTGTGGCTGGTCAGCTGGGTGGTGGTTACAGCCGTGCTCGAAAGGAGAGGAGTCCAGTCCAAAGACGGGTCAGCTGGAGGCGAGATATGAGCATTCAGGACTACCCGATGAGTGTTTTCACCGATGAGAGTGCCGTGGACTTTACTGCGGACGGCTTCATGATGCCGTAATCTATTGTCGGTGTGTAGGTAGATCTAGCGAAGTCGGCCTTGTTCCAGCTTGAAGTATGAATGTCTAATGAAAGCTATCCCAAGCTTGCCATCCACAGCATATTTGGTCCAGAAAGCCACAACCGTGTGGGAACCATAACGAATGTATGAATAAGGATGTACAAGCGGTCTGATTGGCCGACATGCATCCGCGCGGAACCGAACGAAGCCAAGCTTTTTATACGCGCCACTGTGGTGTGATATCATCGCTACGAAACTGCGACACTTCATGGATAATTACATCCGTCTCACACATTCGAAGGGTTATGCCAACTACAGGTATCCCGTAAATATGCCATGTTCCACACTTACTGCACTCCTGCAGGGCTGTCACTTTGTGTACATCATGAGACTATCACCAGTCCTCTCGCTGTCTGTGTTGGAATGGCATATGTTCATACCTGCAACTGAATGACATCAGAACATGCTACTGTCGAGCAGCGTCACCTACGTATCGTCCGATACTCCCGATACTTATTCACTACCGTGAATCTGCCGCTTCTCCTCTAGCCCACTGTTTTGCCTGGTCTGCTCGCTTTATAAGCGTCACAACCTCCTCTACACTCAACAAACCTTCTCCGCTTCACTGCTTCTTCAACAGACAATTAGACTAGACACTCTCTCGTGGTCACCAGCATGACCTCGAAAAGCGATCAATCGCTCTCCGCCTACGGGCCTGCGCGATCAACCGTTCAAGAGAAGCCATTGACTGAAGACGAAGTCCGCAAATTCGATGCCTACTTCCGAGCCACCATGTACCTGTGTCTCGGCATGATCTATCTGAAAGATAACCCGCTCTTACGCGAGCCGCTCAAGAAAGAGCATCTCAAGACCCGTCTTCTGGGCCACTGGGGCAGTGACGCCGGTCAGAGTTTCACATACATTCATTTCAACCGCCTCATCAAGAAGTACGATCTTGATGCCATCTTTATTTCCGGACCTGGACATGGTGCGCCTGCTGTCCTTTCTAACGGCTACCTCGAGGGTACATATTCGGAGGTGTATCCAGACAAGAGCGAGGATGTGGATGGCATGAGACGTTTCTTCAAGTACTTCTCCTTCCCTGGTGGCATCGGCAGCCATGCTACTCCTGAGACGCCGGGTTCGCTTCATGAAGGTGGTGAGTTGGGATATTCCATCTCCCACGCCTTTGGAACGGTGTTTGATCATCCCAATCTGATCACTCTCACCATGGTTGGAGATGGGGAGGCCGAAACGGGACCGCTGGCTACGAGTTGGCATAGGTAAGCATATCTACAAGTCATGTGACTTACATGACCGTGGCTGATTCTTTGTAGCAATAAGTATCTGAACGTAAGAATAGTCAGTACTCTCAAGTCGAGACACTAACGATATTCTAGCCTGTCACCGATGGTGCTGTTCTTCCCGTGTTACATCTGGTATGAAGTCGCACTCTCCATGCTTTGGATCATGCTAACACCTCCAAGAATGGATACAAGATCAACAACCCAACACTTCTATCCCGTATTTCCCATGATGAGCTCGAAATGCTGTTCAAGGGCTATGGATGGGAGCCGTTCTTTGTCGAGGGATCTGAATTCGACACCATGCATCAAGCTATGGCAGGTACCCTCGAGACCTGCGTGAAGAAGATTCGCGAGTATCAGAAGCAAGCTCGTGACAGCAACAAAGCTTTCCGCCCACGCTGGCCTATGATCGTCCTCCGGACGCCAAAGGGCTGGACTGGGCCGCGAAAAATCAACGGCCACTACGTTGAAGGCTTCTGGCGTGCACATCAAGTCCCCATCACGGATGTATGGGAGAAACCTGAAAGCCTGAAGTTGCTTGAAGACTGGATGCGCTCATATGAACCGGATAAGCTCTTTGATGAGTCGGGGAAGCTTGTATCGGAGCTCAAGGAGTTGCCTCCTTCGGGCACCCGACGCATGTCTGCCAATCCAGTCACCAATGGTGGTACTATCAAGCGCAAGCTCAATTTGCCCGACTTTCGCGAGTACGGGCTCAAGGTACACAAGGCTGGAGCAGAGTCAGCAGGTTCCATGGCGATCTTTGCGCAGTTCCTCAAGGAGACCGTGGCGCGTAACATGGACCAGTTCCGCGTCATGGGTCCTGATGAGACACAATCGAACAAGCTTTCTGCCATCTACGAAGCTGGCAAGAAGGTTTGGCACGCTGAGCATTTCGAAGAGGATGATGATGGCGGCGAGCTGACAGACACTGCCAACGGCCGCGTCATGGAGATTCTCTCCGAACACACCTGTGAGGGCTGGCTCGAAGGCTACGTCCTCTCCGGCCGCCACGGTCTCTTCAACTCGTACGAGCCCTTCATCCACATCGTGACCTCCATGGTCAACCAGCACTGCAAATGGATCGAGAAATGTCTCGAAGTGCCCTGGCGTGCCAAGGTCGCCTCCCTCAACATCCTCCTCACCTCCACAGTCTGGCGTCAAGACCACAACGGCTTCACCCACCAAGACCCCGGCTTCCTCGACGTCGTCGTCAACAAATCCCCCGACGTCGTCCGCATCTACCTGCCCCCCGACGCAAACTGCCTCCTCTCCACCATGGACCACGCCCTCCGCAGCCAAAACTACGTCAACGTCATCGTCGCCGACAAACAAGACCACCTCCAATTCCTCCCCATGCCCGACGCAATCGAGCACTGCACAAAGGGCATCGGCATCTGGAAATGGGCGTCCAACGACGCCGGCACCGAGCCCGACGTCGTCATCGCCTCCTGCGGCGACGTCCTCACCCAGGAGGCCCTCGCCGCCGTCGCCCTCCTCCGCGACCTCGTCCCGGACCTGAAAATCCGCTTCGTCAACGTCGTAGACCTCTTCAAGCTGATCTCCCCCGACGAGCACCCGCACGGCCTCAACGCAACCGAGTTCCGCGCCATCTTCACTGACGACAGACCCGTCGTCTTCAACTTCCACTCCTACCCTTGGCTGATCCATCGTCTCACGTATCAGCGTGCGGGCGCGGCAAACTTGCATGTGCACGGGTATCGCGAGAAGGGCAATATCGACACCCCACTTGAGCTCGCCATCAGGAATGGCACCGATCGCTTCACGATTGCGATTGATGCCATTGATCGCGTCAAGGGCCTTGGCAACAAGGCTTCTGGGGCGAGGGAGGAGCTGTTGAATAGGCAGATTACGGCACGGAACTATGCCTTTCATGAGGGCATCGATCCAGATGAGCTGAGGAACTGGAAATGGCCGTTCTAGATTGGCTTGCAGAGATGGACTTAACTCTTTGTCGAGTGGGTGGTTTGGTGGGTGGCGCTGGGATGATGACAAAAAGCTTGGTTTACATGAAGTTTGGGTAGCAAAGCGAGAATAAATGAGTTCATGGATGGTTCTTTGTGGTCTTACTGTTCATGCCTTCGTATATGCAGAGACATGAGACTCATGCACTTCTCCTTTCCGCACCACTACACCATACATGCTAAGTTCACATCCTATCCATGAATCTCTAAATCTCTAGCCACATTATCTCAGTCCCCTGTATTCGCCTGGCTTCCACCACACTTCACCTCTGACACGCGAGAAGAGGACTTGTGCCATTGAAGATCAAATTATGGTTGACTGAGAGACTGATAGACCAACACATGCAACACGCAAAGGTGAGAGCATATGTGTGAGAGAGGAGTACGGACAGAATGGGAAGTGTGCAAATGAGTGAGTAATTAATTGGGTACGGTTAGCATACAAAGTGCTATTAGATAGTTGTTTACATGTCATTTGGTTTGATACTCGGCTAGGGTCGGTATATGGAATCTGGGCGCTAGCAACTCAGCATCTGATGTTTCGATTTTATATGTAGACGGACGACGGCTCACAACGTAAGAAGCACGGCTAGCATTCGGCCGAGTAGTCTGAGCTTAAAGGTCTGTGTCATGAGATCCGTCTATTGCCTAATGCTATTCATATCGCGATGCGTGTTGTTCGCTGTCTTTAGTAATGCTAGCACCCCTTCCTTTCGGAACCGCAGTATTATTACAAGCTTACTTCCGAGCCAGTGACCCATACGCCCGATAGTTCTCTACACAATCGTCTCCAGCTCCCGCGCATAGCCCAGAGTATTCTCAATAACTGTTCCGCTGGTGACTAGGATATCATTCGCAGCATTTGCACTTTCTGCATTCTGCTGTGGGAAATAGAGTCGTCCGTCGCGAGCCACCCAGCCTCGCTCTTTGGCGAACGAAACGACCGAGCCTTCGGAGTCGAGGAACAGGAGTGATTTGGCGTCGGAGATAGGAATCGAAGCGTATGCTTTCTCAGAACAAGATGCGATTTCGGCGCGGATGGTGCCGATAATGCTCTACATATATATTAGCCTTCAACTCTAGACGATAAGAATTCCTCAAGCCTCGGCGAGGTGATGTCAATACATACCTGCGAAAAAACACCAAACTCGGGGCTCGGCACTCGCTCTCTCTTTGTCGCGCCCCACACGCGGTCATAGCTTCCCTCCATGAGCGCCTGCTCTAATTTTATCGGATACTGGATATACTGGTCCTCTTCCAGGCCACCCTTTCCAGCTTGCGCTGCCGCCAACTCCAGCGTCTCTAGCAGTGTGTGAAAGCCCGCATAGTCGCCCTGGCTGAGCAGCAGGAGCAGGTAGAGGCCTGTAATCTTACTTGAATTGCTCTTCTCGCGAGCTAGGATCTGCTGAGGGAGGGAGTAGAAGGGTTGGAGTTGTTGGAAGTAGCGCTCGAAGCCCTCGGCGTCTTGCAGGCGGATGGAGATGAGGGCGCCGAGCTCGAGGGTTTCACGCGCGAGGAGGAGATGTGCTTGTGGTGTGCGTGGGCCGGGTATCAAGGCATTGAGTTTTAGAAGTGCGAGTTTGGCGCGGGAGAGGAGTGCGGGAGCGGTGGATGGGTTGGCGGCGTTGAGAGCTTGGTGTAGTTGTTTGAGCGCCGTCTGGAGCTCGTTCTCGGCCATGGCGGTCGGTGATGTGATGGTCTGGGCGGATGTAGTGGGAGTGGGAGTGTTATGGGGTCGAGCCGTAGGGGTGTTGGGGGGTTTGTGGTTAGTTCGAGATACTTGATGTCGTGTGTCTTGATACGAAGCTTCTGGTGATGATGAATGACAATGGCGCTCCGTGTCCGTGCACGTCTGCTCTTTGGATGCCTCAGGCCAAAAGTCATGTCCACCAACGCCCGCGTAGCCTTCTAGAATGCGGTTTCTAAAATATAGAATATTCATCTTCTGTCGAAGCACATTGAGAACACATGTGCAACGACCACGGTGGCCTCCTGCTTTTATCGATCGCAGCTCATGTCTGCCCTATGCTTCGACCACGCCCGCGTGGGGAGTCGGATGATCAGCTGCTGAAAACGGTGTGAGACACGCGACTCGTCACTGTACAGTATGCATCGAGCTTCACATCCATCTTATGTGCAGTCGTATGACAACGCTCACCTTCCGAACCTTCTGAACGATCTAATTTTCAGATATAGGGAGCTCCATGTTGTCCGAGATGGTGGGATCGGCAGTTACAGCAGGGACTATTGCCATATGCATTCGACACAGCTACAACTAATCATGTAGCATTCGTGAATCGCGATCGAGAAAACACCACTTATTCTTGTATGATCGGACAAACCCACAAGGATCTGTCCTCAGCCTCATCTAAACGAATACTTGATCGTAGCTCTTTGACCGCTGCAGCCCGCCGTTTTCCGTGTTGGAATATCAGGCAAATCTGATCCTGCGCTCCTGGACAATATCTCGCAGAAATAAGCTCAAGTACAAGCGAACCGAGGACCGGAGAGAGCCATCTAATCGACCAAAGAGAAGAGACCAAGTCCGACCCACCCCTGCTCTACAGGCTTATGAAGAGGAAAACCAGGCCCTCGTACCTGTTCTTCGACCACTAAAACACAATCCGGTAGCCTATTAGGGTTGTTCTACAAAGTAAAGACTGCAATTCATTCCAAATCTGGAACTCTATGGCCTCTGTCAGCGGTGTATGACCACTGATCCTCATGCATACATAATCACCAGTCTTTGGCCGAGCTGGGCTATTCATTCGAAGCATCGGCGCGATGACATACAAGTCCTAAACTTCGACAAGCTTCTGTCATCAGGCGTCTGACACTAATAAGCTTTGCAGATACTGAGACCAATGCTTACGCAGAAGGACTATCTTGCGGTGTGCGTATTCCCTGTAGATGATATGTACTGGACAGAAGGCAATTCCGTTCGAGATGTATGCTGACGCTCTGTGCTACAAAATTGATAGCCCTGGTCCATTGTGACAGGGTACACGTACTTGTACCTGTCAACTTCAACCTGTAGGGATCGCCCTACTACTTTCGTCGAATCTGACTGTGCAATTGTGTTTAGGCGGAGCCCACTGTGACCAGAGAATTTCGTTAGTAGGGCCGTTCTATACTAGAAAGTTCTCCTATGATAAGACGATTCACCTTTAGAGCTCTGTGAATTGGCGAACATGACCGTGGAAGACTGCGCTTATATTTATATACATGATAGTATATAGATTCACCCACAGGAACCTCGGTGTTCTGTAATCTTCGTAGAGCCATGATGGAAGCCAAATTCCGTCCATGGGAGATTTATAGACCCGCAGGGCAAGGGACTTGGCACCATCTTCTTCGGTCGTGCCCATAATCAAGCTGCTTACATGCTAAACAGCACAAGGTAAAAGTTCTAGAGCAGAAGTTCTTCGATATTGATTCATAGTGGGTAGTATGCCCTCGTGCGTTCAGCAGATGAATATGCGGTCAAGAATGGCACGGATAATCATTCTCCATGTAGTTTGGACGCGTATGACCAATTCTCGACCTTTATATTGTCCCTCGAGCTTTTCATGATTGCAAGAGTCGATACTTATACGCCACCTTGATCAAGCCAACTTCAGTCCATACGTCGCAGGCTTGAACCACTCTGTTAATAGATCTTCAAGTACCTTCTCAGCAGCCCTCTTCGCCTTTTCTGCACTCCCGGCTTTGCCTTCAATGTACAGCTTAATCTTAGGTTCGGTGCCTGATCCACGTACTGTGAATCTTACCTGGGCCTCTAGAAAATGTGGCTCCAAGTCGCAGGTTATCATCTGGCTGTCCTTCGACACTGGCAGATCAGGGACGTGGTCCTTGGTCGCTGAGTCATAGCCGGCTGTCAAGTCTCGCCAGCGTGCGATCTTATGCTTACCAAGATGCGAGGGGTGCGGAGAGCCCAGCGCACGAATCTCCGAGAAGACTGTGTTTGTTGTCTCTGGAGAGGGGGAGATGAGATATGTGTTGGCATCTTCGAAGTGGCCGTACTTCTTGAAGAGCTTTTGAAGCTTATGGTATGGCGTCTCTGCATCGTTCATCTGCCATCTAGCAACAGCGGAGAGGAAAACGGCCGCAGCACTGAGACCGTCCTTGTCTTTGACGACCTTGGGCACCATATATCCGATAGCCTCTTCGAAGGCAAAAAGAACGTGGTAGCCTTGCTCTTGCAGCTCTATTGCTTTGTTGCCGAGCCATTTGAAGCCCGTCAGTGTCTCTTGAAAATGGATGCCCTCTGCATGACTATACGCACTGAGCATCTGAGATGAGACTGTCGATGCAAGCATGGCTTGTTTCTCACTCTCCTTTGTGCCTTCATAGGTCTCGTGTACATGAGCGGCAAGGAGAATGCCTAGTTCATTTCCTGTAAATTGGTGCCATTTGCCATCAACTTTCTCGGCTACAGCAAGTCGGTCTGCGTCCGGGTCTGTTGCAAGAATGAAGTGGACTTTGGTAACATCTGCAGTTTTGATGGCGAGATCTAAAGCTCCCTTTTCTTCCGGATTAGGAAAAGGAACGGTTGGAAAGTCGCCATCGGGATAAGATTGGTCCACGACGCGGACCATGTTGAATCGCAAGTCTAGAGCATCCATTATCTCCTCCATGAATTGCAAACCGACTCCGTGCATCGGAGTGTACGCAAATCTGGGATATACTGATGAAGGAATGTTGGGCAGAGCGGCAGCAGCGCGTACTGCATTACAGTACTTGCGCAGTACTAAATTCAGACAGCCCTTGACTAGGAGATTATCGTCGTCGATAACAGAAGTGTCCCACGTAATCGGTTCCAGGTTTTCCTCGATCGACTTTGCGATACCAGTATCGTGCGGTGGGATGATCTGACAGCCATTCTGCCAGTATACTTTGTATCCATTGTCGGCCGCTGGGTTATGGCTTGCAGTGATAACAATACCGGCAGCAGCGTGAAGCTCGCCAACTGCGAACGGGACGAGTGGTGTTGGCGCTGGCTTCTCAAACCACCAGACCTTGATCCCCTTCGCAACAAAGGCAGCAGCAGTGAGCCTCGCAAACTGTTCCGACTTGTGGCGGGCGTCCCGACCAAGCACGATGCCCAGCTTTTGGGCTTCTGGTATGGTCTGCAAAATGTATGCAGCCAGACCTTGGGATGCCTGGATGACTGTGAGAGAATTCATTCGTGAGAATCCAGCCTCCATGCGAGCCCTGAGGCCAGCGGTGCCGAACGCGATCCGGTTGCGCAGTCGGCTCTCCAGCTCATCATGCTTGTTACCGAGAAGTAGTTTGTAAATCTCATCTCGCGTTTCTCTATCTTCGTCCAAACGCAGCCATTCCTCGGCGAGGTTCGTGATGCTTGGCGGCATGACTGCACAGATTCTTCGCACAAGCAGCTATTTCAACTTCGATGGCGAGACGATAGATATGACGGAAGAAGATACGGTACGCGATTGATATTCAGATGCTGGACAGCTGCCTCATGTCAATTCATGGAGGCAGCGAAATTATGAGCCTAAGCCACTTCCGTGCTCTTCCCTTGTTTATCGCTCAGTCAAACTGTACAACGTACGTTTTAGCACTAGTAAATCGGCCTAGATCGCAGATTCACTTCCGATGCTCTTGACAAACGCAAATATCCTATAGACTTTTGTGTTTGCTCCTGCGCTCGCAACAACCACGATTATAAAGCCCGGTTATGTATGAAGCTAGACCGGATGAGACATAGATCGACCTCGCAAGTCAGGACCGTACCTAAGCCAAGGTATCTACTAATATCAGATTCAGGGTCCACCGGGCGCCACCCCTCGAACAGTTATTTTGCAATGCAGGTGGATAATTCTATATTGAAGCTCTAAACCTCCCTTTCTCCTTCCTAACGACCGACAATCTCTCTCCTCCTCTGCATCCAGAAGCGCCGCTCCGCACCATGGGACGTCTCCGCAATCGCGAACAGCGGGATCAACTGCTCAGTCCCCGCGAAGTCGAAAACTTGATTGCGGAGGGAAAGACTGTTATAATTGTCGATGGCAAAGTGTTGAGAGTAGATGCCTGGCTGCCGTATCATCCAGGCGGCCAGACGTCAATCAAGCATATGGTAGGAAGGGACGCAACGGACGAGGTCAACGGGTATGTATTCAGGTACTTCTGAGGAAGGGTTGGAATTGACTTTAGCCGTTTAGGTTCCACTCTCCAGAAGCGAAGCAGCGCATGTACTCATATCAAATTGGTCGCATAGAAGGACCATGGACGAACTTCCTTCCACCAATTCAGGGCGGAAAGTTCCGACGACTGAACGACTTGGATAAAGAGCAAGAGGTGGAAAACAAAGGGCATTCGGACGACGACTCGCAGCATTCACTTGATCCTTCACCCACATTCGATCCCGCCGACTGTCCAGCTTCTACCTTGAGATCACGAAATCACGGTCTTGACCGCTCATCTTCAGCATCTTCCATATCCTCTGTCGATCTTGACGACGACATCATAAAGCCGAGACTGTCGCATTTCGACGCACGCACACAGAAAGAAATCGACTTGGACAAGGCAAAATATCCCTCACTGGACGCGGCTACGCAGGCGGCAATCGTCGAGAAATACCGCTTGCTCAACCTGCAGATTGAGGCGGAGGGGCTATATCAATGCAGATACTACTCATATGCCATCGAGGCGCTGCGATACTCCCTGCTCTTCGCAGGCTTCCTCTACTTCCTTCGGAAAGAATGGTACGCGCTGAGTGCGCTCTTCCTGGGCATATTCTGGCATCAGCTCGCATTCACAGCGCATGACGCAGGGCATTGTGGCATCACGCACGGCTTCCACACCGACTCTGTAATCGGCATCCTTGTCGCGGACTTTTGCGGAGGCCTGAGTCTGGGCTGGTGGAAGCGCTCGCACAACGTGCACCACGTTGTGACCAACTCGGCCGAGCACGATCCGGACATCCAGCATATGCCCTTTTTCGCCATCTCGCACCAGTTCTTCGACTCGCTGTTTTCCACCTACCACAACCGGGTCCTGACCTACGATCGGGCGGCCCAGTTCTTCATCCAGATACAACACTTCCTGTACTATCCCATCCTCGCGTTCGGCCGCTTCAACCTCTACGTCCAGAGCTGGATCTACCTGCTCGGCGGCCAGGCACCGCGACGCGGGCCGGCGTGGTGGCATCTATGGCTTGAGTTTGCCGGACAGGCCTTTTTCTGGACCTGGTTCGGCTACCTTGTCGTGTACAGGAGCGTGCACGGTGGCTGGAACCGGGCCCTGTTCGTCATGATCTGCCACGCCGTCACAATGCCGCTCCACGTGCAGATCACGCTCTCCCACTTCGCCATGAGCACGGCAGACCTTGGCCCGCGGGAGTCGTTCCCGCAGAAGATGCTGCGCACGACCATGGACGTCGACTGTCCGCAGTGGCTCGACTTCTTCCACGGCGGCCTGCAGTTCCAGGCCATCCATCATCTGTATCCCCGCATCCCGCGACACAACCTGAGGAGGACGCAGAAGCTGGTGCAAGGGTTCTGCGAGGACGTCGAGATTCCGTATGCGCTGTATGGGTTTGTGGATGGGAATCGGACGGTGATTGGGAAGCTGGGCGATGTTGCACGTCAGGCGGCCATCCTGGCGGAGTGCAGGAAGTCCATCTCAGATGGTGGGATATGGGCTCACTGAGACTGAGATTGATGTTGATCTTGATCTTGACGTTTCAGGGAGGCAGTCTGAGATTTTTGAGCGCGTTCAGCGATGCATTCTCGTATAGAGGCATGTTGGATATTGATAGAAAATATGTAATTATGACCAGTCTTGGTGTGGTTGACATGAGTTTCTTAACTTCTGCTTCATCTTATGGTGAATATACAGGGCATGCCTAATGCGGTTAGCATGGGACTGGATTGCCGCCTGATACGTCGACTGTCATGTCAAGAGTAGACTATCATGTCAAATCTAGGCTGCGGGTTGGTCAGTCTGTGACCTGTTGAATGATGGATGGGATGCAATGATCTATTACAGATGCATATATATATCTCTATATGCTGAATGAATATCTTGTATTAGCACGCATACCGCTTAATATAGGTATTATGCATTTTAGCAATGTCATCAAGTATTGCATCGTTGTTAGTGGTACAGTAGTAGTAGTACATGTGACTTCACGTGTCTGACCATCGTGTTGATGCCAGACTAGCCCTAGACCTCGGTCGTTGGGAATCCATCGAATGGACCCGTAACAGTCCGACGCGCACCCCACATCGGATGATATTGGAGTTCGGGCATGATTAGGGTGTGATCTAGACCTGGACGAGCTTGGGTATTTTGGTTGAATGACTGTTGTGATGGACAGAAAGAAGATTGAAGGGGGTTGCAGGTGCGGTACAGGTGCAGGTGCAATGAAACAGCAGGTAAGTAGTACAGCAGCAGAAGACACAAGACGGCAGATCGATAGATTCATGCCGTTGAACGAGCGGAGGCGGTGCTCTCAGTCAGGAAATTGACCTTTATCTTTTGGGGTTTGACAGTCACACGATGTAGGCGTGGGAGTGCATGGCATGGCATCGCGTCGCATGGCATGGCAGTGCATTGCAGTTGCAGGTGTGGCTGAAACTGTCGTGTGAGGAGATGTTGAGGAGGGGAGAGAGTTGGCGGGGCTCCGAGGCCGGACGTGGCTGGACAATGAAGATAGGTATGATTAGAGGATGAGCAACGGTTTCGACAAAAGATGACGGCGGCGGACTACTATCAATTAGCAGCATTGATTAGAGACAAGAATTCAAGCGACGTCGATAGCTGCCCGTCGACAAAACGACGCGACTCGAGTCAGCAAGCCGTATGGGCCCGAGAGAGATGACGAAGAATCCCACTTGTTCCGTCCGGTCTGTGGATGGATGATGGATGATACGAGGGTTTCAAGCAGCAGGAGTTTAGAAAAGAAGAAAGTATCAAATTCACCATGAACACGGAGGACAGGATCATGGGAGGTAATTAGTGAGTAAGTAATACGGCGATTGGCGAGCTCAGCGGTGGTGAGTGAGCAACGACATCCCGTCGTCATCCACGAGCTACATACAGGGCTGGATCTGCAGGCTTATTATTATCTTGCTGGATCTGACTTGACCCCACGAACAACAAAGACCCTTGCAAGATAGCAGCACGTCGACAGAGTCAGAGAGACATGGGGAGAGGTGAAAATACGAGATTCGGCGTGCAGATACAGAGGATATCACTTGGCGCTGGCTGTAGTTCGGGCGTGGAATCGAGAGAGCAGTGCTTGGACATGGCAGTGGCTGTGATAAGAAGACGAGAGCCGGCCGGATGAAGAGTCAATAGGAGCGAGAATTGTGGATGATTTGACTGATGGATAGATAATAAGTCATAGGTCGGTTGTTGTAATGGTTGGGTCAAGTCAGGTAAGCAGATGGGACAATGAATGACAATTCCGGCCAGTAATCGCTATCTCTGGCAAATAGAGGGCCGTCTCGGCGGTCTTGATTGCGTTGGTCGCTTAATTCGGGGGCGTTATCCGGCTGGCTGGCCGCGTACCTGACTGACCAGCTGTCCCTCAGCCTACTGCCTACTACCTACTAATTACTGCCTACCCACCCACACACACCTACTGTAGCTATCAAGCAGCCTGACTGACTGACCCGACAACAGCTGCCCCCCTTTCCTTTCCGGGTGCCCCTCCCGGCTGGCCCTGTTCCTCTCCGGCCAACCCAATCTGCTATTCAACAATTCGCCATTCGCATCAGCCATCAGCCATCAGCCATCTGCACGCACGTAAAGCTGTTACCAAAACACCGATAACGATTCATCTGCCTCTCTCCTCTATCGCATCTCTCTGCCAAGCTGTCTATCTACGGCATATTCCTGTAATGGCAGACCCTCAACCTCAATCGCACGTTCCAAGTGTCAGCCCGTCTGCTTCCTTTCTTCATTCATCATCTTCGTCTGTATCACCCTGACATCCAATTGTGTAATTAATTGTTGTGTTCGAATGATTGTGTTCGATTCGAATGAAGGATATAAAAACGATGGGATCTGCATGGCCTCCTTCCCCCACGCCCGCCCACGCCCGTCACTCTGTCTGCCCTGATGACTCTCTCGTGCGTGCGGCTTGCCAATATGCTAATAATTGATGTGCCAATCTTTCTCCCCACCCCAATCGCTCGCGTCGGCCGTGGCGTTCGTCCAAGCTTTTCTTCCATGACCTCTTACCATTCATTCATCACTTTCCACACCCCCCCCGCCCGGTCCGTCTGCACAGAAGTCGTTCCCTTTCGAGGTCATTGTGCATGCTGAACCGTGTGGGTTTTCTGCGGATTGTGGACTGTGGACTGTGGACTGTGTGGATCGTGGATGATGGATGATGGATTGTGGCTTGTCCTTTATCATTGTCAACTTGTCCACACCACCCACCACTTTCTCGTCTAATACCCATATTCATTCATACCCGCTGCGATAAGCCCTGAAGCCTCCTCCATCCAGCCATCCAGCCCGTCCATCTATCCCATCATACTACATACTATCCATCACTCTGTCTCTGTACTGCTACTACTACTACTGCTAATGATACTGCTACTACTGCCGCCCCGTCCTGCCCTGAACCTGTCTGTCTGTTCTTCTATCTGTGCGGTCCTCGGGTGATGGCTTGTCCTCCTCTGCCCTAGAACATCAGTCCGTTCATTATCCCCGCCGATCCCCTATAATAACACCCGTCCCCAACTCCAGTCCCTACTTGTGCTCGTGCGTCTTTTTTTTATTAAATATCCTACTTCTGCTCACTTTGCCCTCTCGTCCCAGCTTACACCCCCTCGAGCTGACCTTCTCCTCCTTCCTCTCCCTTCCTCTGATTCCCTTGCGTCTCTGTCAATTCGCCTCGCAGCTTCACTGCTCCCGCGAGCCGTCTCACCCTCGTCGTCCATCATGGCGTCTCCCGACGATCCCAATGGGGGTGATTCCAGTAAGTCGCCATAGTCCCTTGCATCTTGCATCTGCTGCACTGCCGGAGAATTGCGCAACTTAAACTATTTTGATCACGTGGCCGCGCTGCTGCCACAATCAAAGAGAGTTGATGTCGATGATACAAAGTGTTCCGGGACCGTAAAACTGGATGCCTCAGGCCAATGCTAACCACCGTCTCGCAGATACCATCGATTTAAACACCCCCTTCCAATCCGGTGATCAGGCTTACATCATCGTGGCTTCGGCCATGGTCATGATCATGATACCGGGTCTGGGTTTCCTCTACTCTGGTCTTGCACGCAGAAAGTCTGCCCTGAGCATGATTTGGGCCTGCATGGCCTCATGCTCCGTCATTACTGTGCAATGGTATTTCTGGGGCTTTTCCCTTGCTTTTAGCAGATATGCAAATAATCCTTTCATTGGCGACGTCCAATCTTTGGGTCTCATGAAGACTCTCGGCCAGCCCAGCCAGGGTAGTCCATTGATCCCAGATCTCCTGTACGCTTTCTATCAGGTAAACTCTCCCCCTTGCCCTGCCATCTTGCCTCTCTCTAACGCATATCCAGATGCAATTCTGCGCTGTGACAGCTGCCATTACCATTGGTGCCGTAGCAGAGCGGGGTCGCCTCATCCCCGCGCTCGTCTTCATCTTCTGCTGGGCCACCGTCGTCTACTGTCCTATCGCATACTGGATCTGGAATGCGCAGGGGTGGGCATACAAATGGGGTGTCTTCGATTATGCTGGCGGCGGTCCTGTCGAGATTGGCTCAGGTCTCTCTGCCCTTGCCTACTCCATGGTGCTCGGAAGACGCCAAGAAAAGATGATGTTGAACTTCCGCCCGCACAACGTGTCCTTGATTACCCTTGGTACTATCCTGCTCTGGTTCGGATGGTTAGGCTTCAACGGTGGCTCTGCGTTCGGCGCCAATCTTCGTGCCACCATGGCGTGCTGGAACTCCAACATTACTGCCATGTTCGCCGCCATCACCTGGACGCTTCTTGACTGGAGACTTGCACGCAAGTGGTCCATGGTCGGCTGGTGCTCTGGTACCATTTCGGGTCTGGTCGCTGCTACGCCCGCTTCTGGTTTCATCGACCCCTGGGCCTCGGTTGTTCTTGGCATAGTCACCGGTGTAGTCTGCAATTTTGGTACCAAAATCAAGTTCTGGGTCAAGATCGACGACTCCATGGATGTCTTTGCTGAGCACGGCATCGCCGGAATCCTCGGTCTGCTCGCCAACGGTGTGTTTGGTGCAAACCACATCATCGGTCTGGATGGTGTCAACATGGGCGTGTACGTTGGCGGCTGGGTTGACGGCGAATGGATCCAGCTCGCAAAACAGATTGGCTATATCGCTGCTACCTGTGCCTACGCATTCGTCGTCAGTGCACTCCTGGCGTTTGCCATTGACAAGATTCCCGGTCTCAAGCTTCGTGCTTCTGAGGAGGCCGAACTTCTTGGCATGGACGACGACCAGCTCGGCGAGTTTGCCTACGACTACGTCGAGGTCCGCCGTGACTACCTCGCCTGGACACCTGCCAAGAACGATCCCATCGACGGCGAGCACGCGATCCCTCAGGGCGACCGCCATGGAATCCAACAACACAGCGAGATGCTCGAAGGTCAGGCACCTAGTGAGAGCAACAGTGACAAGGACCACGCGCACACCGGCATCGGTGGCGATCGCCACGGCATCGCTGCGGAAGAGAAGCTCCGCACCCAGTGAATATAGGCTGGGCTGGTTTGACTTGTACAAAGAATGTGTTCTAGCGCAATTTTATTCGTTTGATCTACGCAGGGAAACGGAGGTGTTGAGAGAGAAATTTCTCGGAGCATGCACGGAGTTGGATACCAATTGATACATACATAACGCTTTCGCGGCACTGTCTTTTTCGGGGAGAAAATAAACAAATGCCAGTGCGGCATATTAGAAGAAGGAGCGACGATATACGCCTGGATGATGATTATTAGACATCTATCATTTTATTTTTTGGGGGGCTTGGATTTGGCTATGTCGCGTTGTGCCCCCTTTGGTGGAGCCGCGCTGTACTACACTTATTTTTAATGCAAATAGACCTGTCCATCTTGCTTGAGGTGACGTGAAGTGTACCGAGTACCGTTTGATATAGCCATGGTTTGCAACGTGCAATGAATGCATAACACAGCACGTAATTTGCGGGGTATAACCTTTTTGCCCATGACAATTATCCAACATTCGTAATATTGACGTCTCCACAAAACAGCGCCAGACAACAATATTCCCGGCCGTGTCAAACAAACTGCCCAAACTATTTTCGCACTGCAACTCTACAATCTACACAGCCGGCGTGTGTGATGCATGCCGAGCCAGTATCTTCTTAAAAGAAGCCTGTTGCAACAACACGTTGGATGCACACACCATGTATGTCTGCGCCATCGACCCGCAACTCGGTAAAATGCTTGGAAGAAAAAAAGGGCTTGGGAGATAATAGATAGGGTAAGAAGGGAGAGAGACGGGTTGGACGAATGAGCGATTGCCGAGTTCTCGATGGGAGATATGGATGCCTTAATACCACACAAACGGTTCGTGTCACCAGCCAGCCGCTCGCGACAAGAGATCCATCTAGATCAAGTATCTGACGAGAGCGTAACCAGCCCTATTCCTATTGCCCACTCGAATTTCTACTCTATATCCAATGTCCAATGTCCAATGTCCAACGTCCAACATTTACGACTGCAGCCCGGAGCTAGACAAGCCTGCAAGATCTCGCTGTGCTGGTCTGGTATTGCTAACTTCCCTTCCTATGACCCTGACACGACATTCGACCATTTCATTCGATCAACGATCAATGATTATCAGAGATAAGGCCGCTGAACGCGCTAGATGCGGCATCTATCCATGCCATGCGAGTGTTGGAGGCCAGGCAGGCAGACAGGCAGCTTTACACGCGGATGGATCCATTTGCTGCGGTTTTCGCGACTTGGCGCTTGTCTAGACCATTTCATCCCGCGTAGAGCGTTCTGTCTGGTATTTAGGGGGCGTTCTTCTTGGCTGGCTGGCTGGCTGGCTGGATAGATTGATAGATGTGTGCCTACGAGAGCGCAAGGAGTTATGGATACAGACACGGCTTGTTGGATGGATGGATGAATGGTAATGGATACACTGATCTGCTAATTATGGATCGATTCGCGGTTGGTGTGGCGGATGGATCCCTGTACCACCTCTAGATGAATAAAATCCATTGATGCTGTATGAACAGCGACTAAACCGGATTGGTTCAATGAGGAATCCATTGCTCCTGTCGTCCACGATCCCTTTCCAGACTCACCTGTTGTAGCTCCCTGGTCAACAGTTCGTCATTCCCACGTGCAAACGGAAAGTAGGTAGGGTTTGGCATCTTTGTACTACTACTACTACTACTACTACTACTACCACTAGCCGCTCGTTTGGTCCATTGAGTAATTACATACATACTCCCTTTGTCGTTCTTTGCGCTTTCAGGGGTGCTGTTATGTCTTGTTTGTCTGACTCGCAGAACGTGTAGACGCTTGAAGTCACAGGTAGATATATTACTTCTTGTGCATGTCTACAGGGCTTCCTGGGAAGGGTATTGGATTGTATATCTTGGGTTGTTGTCGATACGTTGTGTGTATTGTTTTGTATTACTCATGATACTCCGTGTCGCGAAGTCGAGAACGTAGTGTCTTGGAGACGTTCAGCATAGTGACTGCGCTGTATAGATCATGGCGTCACATCGCATGGAGACATCCATCATGTCGACTGCACTGTATAGATGATGGTGCAACATTGCCTGCACAAAGCTAGAGTAACAAGGCAATCTCTTTGTCCAAATACAATGTAAGTCGGACGGAACAATGGCTTCGAGAGACAAACTTCACACGCGACCGCCCATGTTGATATCGTATCTTCACCGGCACTGTTCCTTCATCCTTTTTATTTATTTCTAGCATTCGCTTTCTTGCTTTCGTTTGCGTCCATGGTTGCTTGGTCGGTTGTATACTTCTATCAGGCCTGCTCACTGCCTGCGCTGTCTGTCTTCTTTCTGTATATTATATGCACTATTGAGCATTCGTCACTCTCGTCGGTATTCATACGTTTTAAGAGAAACACACAGAGTCTGTATACTTCGTTCGCTTCGCACCATGGGTCTCCGAAACCTCACTGCCATGGTCTTCAAGTCCTCCCTCCTTTCCATCCCCCCCTCGCCATGCTCTCCACGCTCTCCCCTATTCTCGAAATCAATATCCCAGCCTCGCACCGCGTCTCTACCGTACTCCAAACCCAGCACGACCACAGGCCGTCAGGACTCCCAGGTCGACGTCAAGCCCCCGGTCGAGCCCCTAGCATGGATCTGGAAATGCCATATGTGCCAGCGCCAATACCCCCTCGGCGCAACACGTCGCTGTCCCATCGACGGCCACTACTTCTGCTCCGGCACCACGAAGCTCCACGCCTGGAGGACGCAGGGCAAGGCCAAGGGAAACGGAAAGGCGAAGAAGCACTACCACGAGGCATGTGCTCATGAGTTTGACTTCAATGGCTGGCTGGCATACGGCGACTGGCGGCGTGCGCAGAAGAAGAAGAAGACGACGGCCTCGCCGACCAACGCCAGAATCGACTCGCCGATGCATCAGTATTTTACAAACACCGTTGCGGCTGCTACTAGTCCGGCTGCGAGGACTCGGGCTGGAGAGCCTCGCGATTGCTGGCATGCGTGCAATTATCCGAGTGAGTGTCGGCATGGTCCGCTGGCTATGGCCATCGATCGACCCCCTGAGCCAGTGCAATTTGCTGCGTCGGATCAGTATCAGTATGCTGGTGCCCAATGTCCGCCTGGCTTGCCAGGGGATAGCCAGGAGTTCGTTATCCAGGATCTCATGGAGACGATTGAGGATGTCGCCGTGGACTACGGGCTTGGCTCCTTGCAAGACCTTCTTGCTGCCTCGCAGGCAGATTTATATGAGCCTACTCCTCCTCCCCCACACGGCTTGCAGTCACCTAGATCGCCGCCCACCTCCCCGCCGTACGAGTACGCTGATGGCATGTACGACATGGACATCGATATGTGCGATCAACTAGATGCTACAGCCTCCACAATCGATCATCCAGACCCCATAGATCCCAATCTACAGCCTCCTGCTCCTCCTTCATCCTCTACCAGTTCCACGTTCAAGGCACCAGGCACATCAACATCATCTGCCCAACCAACACCCAGTACAATACATCCCCCCTCACCCACTACCTCTCCAGACCCCCCGAGCCCCGACACCGACAGCTTCATAAACGCATGCGTCGACTTCACCGGCGCAACCTCACCCTCACCCACCCTCGACGCACACGCACACACCCATCCCAACTCCCCTCCCCTACCCCCGCAGCACTCATCCGCTCTCCACCCCGCCGCCACTCCAACCATGCGCAGCCGCACTGAGAACCCCACGAATTCACCCTTGCCCGCCCTTCCGCCTAAACCTCCACATGCCAACGTCAACAACGCAACGCCGTGTTCGGCCCCGTACACTAACAGCATGCCTCCTCCTCCTTCTTCATTATGCTGGGAGTATGAGCGCCATGCCGGAGACAGAAAGGGTGGAAGTCATGATGCTTGGGATGAGCAGACGAGGAGTGGTCGTAGTCGTGGCGCTGCAGACGGGGCAGGAGGAGGAGGAGGAGGAGGAGGAGGTGGAGGTAGTGGTGGTGGATTTGGGGACCTGTATTTCACGCTTGATAGTGAGTTTTTCAAGGGGGGTGCGAAGAGGGGGCGGAGAGGAAATGAGGTGGATGGGCGGAAAGTTAGGAGGGTGGGGTGGGGATTGGGATTGGGGATGGGGTTGGGGCGAGGGGATTGGGGTGTTGAGGTTTGAGGGGTGTTTTCTTTTCGTCTTGTGTGGTTTTGGGTTGGACTCGTTTTACTTTTGTGTTGTGTTGTGTTGTGGTGTGGTATTGCGGTATTCTTGTGCGGTATTCTTGTGCGGTATTCTTGTGCGGTATTCTTGTGTTCCCTCGTGCACATAGTGTGAGCCAGTTCCTCACCGTGCCTGTGTTGGCAGATTATATGCAAATAGATTCCATTTCGCCAACCTCCTCTCTTCTACGCTCGCACACCCTCTCTCGCTAGTATGCCCATATGGTGTCTAGTTTCGTCCGTCGGGTACGTCGTCGTGCGAAGGTGGGTGTGCTGAATGACATATAAAGTAGCTGGAGTAAGCAGATGCTGTCGAAGCATGATCTGAGGCTTGATCGTCAAGGCCACGCACCGGGTTGTCACGAGTACCCCAGTATGAGCTTGACGACATGGAAGATAAGCATCGAGCACGTGGGACGAGGGGATAGCTGGTCACGGCTGCGGATGGAATCCGTGAATACATCATCGTATACGTTCACCAGTAGGATAATGTAGACTGAGTCTGACTCACGGACAGCTAGAACGGTGAGACAACATCACTGGCCGGCCGTGACCACTTGATCGATCGCACACATACAGCTGATATGTATATGCTGTAATGCCAATATATTTTACTTTTCCCTGTCCGTACCCTGTGCTGTGCTGCGTTATATCAATTCTATAATACACTCGCCCCACCAATAAGAACTTTACAGATCGTGTTCCGTCACTAAATGGCTTAGAAAGGGGGTAGGAAGAACGGATATCCCCCATTCTTGATCCGAAAGATACTGAGGAGAAAACTGTACATGGCGAACATCACGCCAGACCAGATGAAAACAGAGGCCTGTTGGAGCCTGGGATCGGTGATACGAGGAACTTTGAGTGCAATGGAGATGGTAGCGAAGGACAAGATCCCATCTAAAGAAGGGTTAGTGGGTCATCTATACCCAGATCAATGCAATGACTTACAAATGGCAGCGACAATCTGGGTTTCGATGCCAAATTGGTTCTGAAAGCCTCCAGCAAAGTACGTTGCTCCACCTCGACCATTACCTGTGAAATATGGCACTTTGCGAATGTGATTGAACATGTGTCCGCTGGTGAACAGCAGCACAGCGATAATGCTAACGGCAGCCCATAGGTTTCGGTTCTGTATCACAGGAGTGATGTAAGGAGCGGCGACATAAATTGCGCTGATTCCACCTAACACTGCGACGGTCGTCGACACGATCTTCACCCAATTGACCGGTCGATTGACTGGCGGATGCGGTCCGTCTGGAAGGTGTCGGGCAATGAAGCTTTGCAGAAATTCAGCGGTCACTAGCCCTTGCGTGAAGTCATATCTCGTCGGTGAGTTCTCCACCTTCGCGTTTGGGCCGGTGGTGGGGTGGAATAGCAAGAGTACGGGAGCGGTTTGCAGCATTAACTATTCCGTAGTCAGCATGTATTCATCGCCATAGTCTCGCAGAGCCATCCTACCGACTGAAAGACCGGTTTTCCATTCAAGAAGTCCAAAGTACCGAAAAGAAGCCTGCTCTCTCCCTCTTTGTCGCCTTTATTCCAGCTCTTAGCAAGGAGATCCCATTCTGGCTGGAATTCTTGACAGAGTTGGCATCCGAACTGACTCGGCAATGCTGTCAAAAGAATAGCGACAGCATAGTCTCGGGGTGCAGCAGTCAGTTTGTTGTACAGCTTGTCATCAAGCTTCAGATTCGGTGTCGATAGGCTTTGGGCGCGAAGGCTGTCGTACGTGCTGTCACCAAACTTCTTGGCCGCTAGCGTGGCAATTGGCAGCAGTGAAGCTGTAAAAAGACTGAATATTCTCATCTTAATCCCTTGCACCTAGGTAACGTGCTGTCTTCAGATGCGAAACTGCTATCGTCGTATCGAGTATCATCTTTTTGGTCTGGTGTCCTTTCCACGGGCTCCACCCCAGATCCCGAGCTTCAGCCACAACTAAGGTAAGACTGCGACCGGTAGCGCGTTCCGAGATACCAGGTATTACATACCTAGTGTTTACATTGGAGTGTCAAGCTGTCAACGCGTCGATGCGGAGAATATTCCTAATATATTTATATATTTGATCTACTTGTTGCACAACCCATACGGGCACATTCGACGAATGGCACCCAACAAAGGCGAGCGGGAGAGCCCGCTTGAGGTTAACGAGGTTACTCATATCTGTATTTTCGTGTAAACAAACGATATACTGACATAAACACAGCTGCGACGGTCGCTGCAAACTACAAAATTCGAACTTGACTACGAGAGGTCTGCGCGTGTGGTCGAGATCGTCGCTAAAGACGAGGAGCTTCGCAAATTGCGCGTACACCTCCAGCTACTTGAAGATGAGAATGACGAGTTGCACGAGCAGCTTGGCGATGAGGAGGGAAGAGCTGAGGATCTGGAAGCAAAGATCGACGACACCCACGCACTTCTTGAAGAGGCTGAGCTGGCCAAAGTCAATCTCACGAATGAGCTTCGTTTGAAAGAGCGTGAATTGAATAACATGCAAGTATGTGTATCGAGTGCTTATCTCAAGTCTGCCACTGATTGATTAGGCGGAGTTGAATGCCATGCTGAATATCTCTGCCGACACAACAAAAGTCTTGACGGAGAAGCTGTCTCTAGCGAGGGAATTGGCTACCTTAAGACCGGAATTGGAACACCTCCGGTCAACTGCTGCATCCCACGCAACGCTTTTATCGGAGAAACTCTGCCTACAGCGCCAGTTGAGCACCGTCCAAGTCGAACTCGAAACAGAGAAGCGGACAGCACAGCGCCTCATGTCCAAAGAGGGAAAGAGCTCTGAATCTAGTGCCCAACTCAGGACTGAAATCTCCAGTCTTCAAAAAGCCTTACAAACGGAAAGGTTGCAGCGAGAGAACGCTGAGTTGTCAGCGGCGCAGGCTCAGGCTGAACTTGACAAAGAAAAGGCTGCAGCAAAGGACGCCAAGAATAATAAGGACATTGACGCCACAAAGACTGCAGAACTTGAAGAAGAAGTCGCGGACTTGCGCAAAGAGCTCATCAAAGAGAGGCGTTCTCGAGAAAAGCTTGAGCAAGATGCCCAGGAGGCTGCGGCAGATTATGCGGCGGAAAAACAGCGTGCTGAAAAGCAAGCATCCAGGATTAAGCAGGGCAAGAAGAATGCCGAGGCAGAACAAAGTGCTGAACTCGAGGGCTTGCGTGAAGAGATTGGCGCGCTCAAGAAGCAGGTCAAAGCAGCTGAGAAGTCAGCCAGGAACACTCAAGACGATATAGAGACTGAGAGGAGCAATATACAGAAAGTCACCAAGAAGGTCATCGAGAGATCTGACGAGCTTGACGAGCTCAGGAACCAATTGATCGAAGAGCAGAAGGAACGCAAGAAGGCAGAAAGGGACCACGATCGAGCCCGCAAAGACTGGGAAGCGAAGAAGGCACTCCTTGATGAGAAGCTGGATGCTTTCAGGTCTAAGCTACGATCAACCAAGGAAACTTTGAAGGAGACGGAAGCAGAGCTGCTGCAAGCACAGACGCGATCTGTTGCGAAAGCTGCAAGTTCCATTGTTACAACGGCGGCTACCAAAGGGACGAAAGGTCCTCGCAAACGCAAAGCACAAGTGGACCCTAGCGATGCTACCACTCTAGGCACACCTGGAGATATGCCAACGAAGAGAGCCAGGCGTAGCTACTCTGTGGCCCCTAGTGAGAAGTCGACGTTCTCGATTACCCCATTCCTTAGCAGGACGGCCAGTGTTCCGCCAGAAAGTACTACAGCTGGGGAGGAACTAGGTTATAACCCTGTCGAAACCGTAACAGAAGCTACCCCGACTGGCCCTCCGAAGCAAAGTAGAGGAGGCTCTGCAGAAACAAAGCCTCTGGCTGTAGCTACTGCGAGCAAGGCCAATCCCAAGATGAAGCAGGCCCGAAAGCCCACCAAGGCTCTTTCGACACTGGAAATCGTCGCAGAGGAAGGCGATGGCGATGAAAACATCGATCCGACGGTCGTACCAGAGAAGACGATGGAGACCATGCAGGCGCCGAAATTAAAATCTGGTTCCATGCCTTCCAAAGCTCCTCGGAAGTCACTCATGTCGTTTGCAACATTTGACTCAGAGGCCCCCGAGAAGAAGAAAAAGCGCAAACTTGGGGGTCTTGGACTGCAGAAAACACTCTTCGATGATGACGAGGGTGCACCGCCTGTCAAGCCAATTCCTGGAAAAGGCTTCATCGCAAACAGAGCCGTTGGAAGAAGCATATTTGGGGCGAAGGGGCCTGGACCTGCGATTTCTGGTGGACTCAGGCACATGACTGAAGAAGGATTCATGTTCAGTCCATTAAAGAAAGAACGAAAAGCCATGAAGGAAGCTAGCATGTTAATTGGAAAATGAGCCAATATACCTCGCAGCGCTGACTGCTTGGATTGTGCCGATGGATCCGGAGTATATTGTGGCATTTCATATGCGGTAAAGCGTTTCCATACATAGCGATCTGGTCGTCTGGTCTCAAGATATTTCCACCACGTCCTCGCGTAATGCATCTTCTTTTCTTTTCGTTGCGACAAAGTAGGACTCTTTGGATTCCTTTGGCATGTCAGCGATTTATCCCGATATCGCGTGTACTAGGCTTACAGCTCTCGAGCTCTCAGGCTTCTCTCTGTGCACTTTTTTGAATAGTCTTTTGAGGCGCTTCTCCAACTCTTTATCTTCTCCACCTTGGTAGAATTTACACACAAAGTGACCACCGGTTTTCAGGGTATCGAAAGCGAACGTTAAAGCGGCATTACATAAGTCCTGTGCTTTAATCAGTAGAGTGCTTACACCTACCAACGTACTTCCTACCATGCTTCCTACATGGTCCTTGAATGATACACCGCTCGTGTTCATCATCCTGTTGTAGGGGTTACTAATGCTGTTCTTGTTGAATCCATCGGTCTGATCCCAGGGTGCGGACATGTCACTCAACACGACATCGACAACTCTTCCGTGTCGAAGGTCCCTCTGAGAAAGCTTCGATTTTTTTGCTCCCTCCCTCAACGCATCTATGCCGGAGTCTTCAGACTCATCTGAACTGACTCGTCGTTCCAGGTCAATGTAACCACTTTCCAGCGCATCGACCCCTTCTTCGCTCTGTACACTCGTGATCGTATGTTGTCGTGATCGTCCTCGTGACCAGTCCTGGATGTACGCACGCACCTCGGCTTGTATTTCGGGGGAGAGAAAGTTGCCTTGTATCGTTGAGACGCCGCGAGGAGGTTGTGCAGGGATGATGTCTATACCGACAACTCGGCCACCGGGTGAAGTTCGATTGATGGCCACTTGGGACCAAGAGCCTGGCGCATAGCCCTGTACGTGTCAAAAAATTGCACGACTTGAAAGTCAGTAGTCTATACCAGGTCGACTACAGTGTCTCCAGCGTGGAAAAGCTTATATTTTTCATTCATCTGCAGCCGCTATCAGCGTCACGGTTGGGTACGAAGACTAAAAGAGTACCTCAAGGAGCTTAAATGCAGCGCGACTTTTGAGACCTTTGACTTTAGCTTCTTTGGCGAAGGAGTCTTTCCCCTGGCGAGTCTTCCAACGCGTTGATGAAGACGAGGCGCAACGTCGCAATATACAGTGTTGCTGAAAGTGGCCTGTTTGTCCTGTATTGCCTATACGCGCGCGTGTGCGAAGGCATTGAGGCGAGTACTTGAAGACATCAATTAAGAGGCTGTGCCTAAGCTCTTGGAAGAGCCATCCTGAAAGCATCGAGGAGTGATCTTTGTCGAGAGGAGAACGTTTACTGTAATATCTTCATGACAAAAGTTCGATATGTGGCTACCACTTGTGGCGCAAGCTAAGGTAGCCCGTCATCCTTGCTACCTCCACATCTAGGGTCCTGGCCTTAAAAAAAAATCTAGTCAATTTCCCTCCTGATTGCAGCAGGATACATACCAACTTTGGTTCGTTTTGATTGGTGCTTTTACATCCAAAATTCAAGCATGGGAAAAAGATCGCTTGGAGATGCGATCGAGCCAGCAGAAAGTCTCGTGCGAAAAAAAAGCAAGAAGAACAAGCATGGCGACATTCCGCCTGAGTCGGAGACTGCCACAATCGTTACCGCTGCTCCATTCAAACTCGCGAAGACTAAGTCTACAACTGAAGCCAAGAGCAAGACAGTAAACAAAGAAAAGCAGTCAGGAACTTCATTCGTGGACGACGAAGAGAGTCAGAAGAAGGCCAAGGCAGCACGGAAAGAAGCTAAAAGAGCCAAAAAGGCCGCTCTGGCGGCGCAAAACACTCCTCCATTGAAAAACGACTTGACCGAAAATGATACTGCCAATGAGGACGCAAAGGCCACTCGAAAGGCTGCGCGCAGAGCTGAGAAAGAGCAGGCCAAAACTGAGAAGCTGAACAAATCCTTGGGCACACCCAAAAGTTCTGGAGATGTCAACACTGCTGCATCAATCCCGTTGAAGTCCTCCACCAAGTCAGCCTTCAGATATGTTCAGAACTCAGAGTTAGCAGCTCTGTCCCAAGCAGCAATCGACAAGTACCTGGCTTCAAACGAAATTACCATTACGGATCCCCTTTCTCAATCATCTCTCCGGCCTATCACCCAATTCTCATATCTGCCAATTTCTGACAAGAGTCAGCTTGCGCCATTTGCTTCCTTCGATTCTCCAACACCTATACAAGCGGCGGCTTGGCCATGCCTCCTATCCGGACGCGATGTCATTGGTGTTGCTGAAACAGGGTCCGGGAAGACGTTTGCCTTCGGCGTTCCTTGCATACAAGCTATCTTGGCCACTGTCAAAATGGGCCCAACAGTCAACGGCGTCCGAGCCCTGGTTGTTTCGCCTACACGAGAGCTAGCTTCCCAAATTCATGAGCAAATCACACAGATCGCAAAACCTGCTGGTCTCCATGTGGCTTGTATCTATGGTGGGGTGCCTAAAGAACCACAATATGAGGCTATGAAGAAAGCGAACATCGTCGTGGCAACTCCTGGGCGTTTGAACGACCTGATTAGCGAGGGCGTAGTAGACCTCGGTCAAGTCCAATATATGGTACTAGATGAAGCTGACCGCATGCTCGAGAAAGGATTCGAGGAGGAAATCAAGAAAATCATTGGCCAAACCTTACCTGTTGGGAGACAGACTCTTATGTTTACTGCAACATGGCCGCCGTCTGTCAGGGATCTGGCTATGACTTTTATGAACAATCCCATCAAGATCTCCATCGGAGATAACCCCACTGGGGAGCTCCGCGCCAATACACGTATCATCCAGCAGGTCGAAGTAGTCGAACCGTATGTAAAGAACACGCGCTTGATGGAGCTTCTCAAACAGCATCAGTCTGGCAGGAAGAAAGATGACCGGATTCTTGTGTTTTGTTTGTATAAGAAGGAGGCCACGCGTGTTGAAGGATTCATCAAGTCGAAGGGCTTCCGGGTGGCTGGTATACATGGGGATCTAAGCCAGGCACAGCGGACAGCTAGTCTAGACTCTTTTAAGAAAGGCAGCGTCCCGATATTGGTGGCGACTGATGTAGCTGCTAGAGGTCTCGATATACCCGCGGTCAAGGTGGTCATCAATGTGACGTTCCCCCTTACAGCAGAGGACTATGTGCACAGGATTGGCCGCACCGGAAGAGCAGGTCAGGATGGGCTCGCCGTTACGCTGTTCACTGAGCATGACAAGGGCTTGTCTGGAGCGTAAGTTGTGATTCACAAAGCACTGTAGAAACCCTGCTAACAAACACTAGGCTAATCAACGTACTCAAGGCGGCTAATCAACCAGTTCCAGAGGAGCTGCTCAAATTCGGCGGAACTGTCAAAAAGAAAGGGCATGAAGCTTATGGTGCTTTCTACAAGGATACGGGTGACATGAAAAAGGCCACTAAGATCACTTTTGATTGAGTCTGTTATACTTTGCTAGAAAGCATATCTAATATCAAATAAACTGTTTGGAATGAATGGTAAACATCTGGGATGGCTGCGTTGAGCATTGATCATGGATTGACAGGCCTATACTGTACTGATCGTATTACTTATGACTTTGATACCACGTACGTTTCCTTGGACTCTGGTCTGAACATTCGATAACAACGCATCAAATATGCGCGCTCGCCCATTGCTCTGGTCGTAGCAGTCAGTATTTGCGGACAAGCCAGCAGCATATTGGAACTCACATGGCGGCGAGATGTACGACAGCCATTACACCGACTCTGACTAAAGTGCCAAGGAGTCCTTTCGTTGAGACATCCACCGAGGGTGCCATCAGAATCGCCGTCACAGCAATGGTACTGGTGATACTGGTAGCCGATGGGAGTGTTGAAGTAATAGTGAAGGCGATGTTTCGCCCTGAGAAGTAAGCCCGGACAAAGGATATGTTGAACACTATCCGCAAGGCCATATTCACGCAGTTAGCGTATACCAGTCCCTTTGCCCCATAAGCGAAGGTCACCACGAACAGATATGCTGACAGGCCATATGCTGCAAAGAAGACGCCCATGGTGAGTGACTGGGCGTTCAGTTCAGCATTGGAAGCAACTGCCGCGACGAAAGCCTCGGATACACCATTAATAGCCATCAAAGGGATGTAGTAACAATAATGGGCGAGAATCTCGCTGGCTCCGGTCGCTGACCATCTGTCTCCGGCGATGACTTGTAGGAGTAGAGGGGCCAACGTTGGGCCAACCGATATAACAACGAGAGACATTACGTTGTATAGTTTCAAAATGGCACTGAGGATGTTTGAGGCCTTCTCGAGGTCTGATGTTGAAGACTCTTCTTTCTTGGCATTTGGGAAGCATAATCTGGCAAACAGAGTGCGGCTACTTTCCTCGATGGGTTGAAACAGCATGCGAGCAATTAAACCTCCATAATTCGATGCAAGGGCATAACCTCCCTGGTCTTGTAGCGATGCCATCGACGAGATCAGAATTGAGTCACCTTGGGTCAGAACATATCTGAAAGCAGACTGCAGATAAAGGCTGAAGCTCAACCTGATGAGTGGCAAGGGAAGGATGCCTAGGATTGCATTCTCAGACTCACTGTGTAAAAGTCAGGAAAACACATCAACCTAGGGTGGAAGGTAGGAGCTTACCCTGGCGGCAAGCGTTTGGGAAGCAGATAATCTCCATGTCTGCTCTGAACCGGGTATAATTGAATGGTATATGCTGCAAGTAAAGACACAGCATAACTCATTTGACCCACAGCAAAGGGTAGGGCGCCCAGGTAGATTCCAGATCTTCCTCCGTATATGACAATCCCACAAGTCATTGCGCACCTCATAACTGTAGCTACGGTCTCCGCAGATGCACGAACCCTATATAGCAGTTGTTGCTGTGCGACAGCAAAGCCAGGCTCTGAACATAGTTCTACCATGGTAGCCAAACCATAGATCTCCAGTGATTCGCGGAAATATGGAACCGCAGCATCTGCGCTTTGGGGGTAGAAACGTAGTAGAATGAATGCCAATGGCCAGCCTATGAGGATGGCGAGGTAAGCTAGATTGACCACGGATTGCGTACCTCTGGTTTGCCTCTGCAACGCTACTCGAATGGATTCTCTTGCGAATACCAGAACGGTGATCGAAAAAAGTTCCAGCTGTGCAGAAACACCAAGCAGCTCCGGTGAGAGGAACCGTAGAAGTACCTGATTTGCAGCAAAAGTCAATAGGCGCGAACCAACCTGTAAAAGTATCAGGAAACTTGCGCCCTGAGCCGAGACCGATAGCACCGAATCTGTCATGATTATAGCATGGACAAATTTTCCATATAATAGGGCGATGTTGGACGAAATAGATTTTGGTAAATGGTCCCAGGGTGCCGGTCAACAAGCCCGGGCGCTCGCGGCGGGCACTTCATACAATTTATTACCTAAGCCAGGAATAACACAGGAATGATGACACACAACCGTCGATATATACCTTGACTCATCTTTCATAATAATAGCTACCGTGTGTGTATATATGTAAAAACCGGAGAGCACCTGTAATATTTCTTAAACACCACAATATACATCGCAATACTCACTACACATAGCGAACTACACTCAGACATTGTCACACTGTACACAGCACAGCACACAACACTCTGACCCCCAACTTGACAAGACCCTCAAGATGAGTCTTGAGCGGAAGTACGTTGAGGTGAAGACACCAAGACTACTCATCAGGCCGCTTCAGCCCTACGATGCTCCCAGTATCTTCACCATGCGTAGTGATCCAGAAGTAGTGAAGTACACGTACGGGAACACATCAGTTAATCTATGTCTGACTGAGCGACTGATCTAAGAGCAGGTCACATTCGCCCGACAAAGACGTTGAAACTACCATGAAAGCTATGCAGGAATGGCAAGAGGCCGGTCGTTACAATTTTGTTGTAGAGCTCCTAACCCAGGACGACAAGGAATCCGGGATCAAAACAGATCATCCAGTGGCGAAGCGCAAGTTTGTTGGAGTCATAGGAATAGTACGTAGTCCAGAGATTGGATACTGCTTTTCACGGGAATTCTGGCGGAAAGGTTATGCAACTGAGGCTATGCAGGCTTTTCTCGGACTTGCTTGGGATCATCTCAGCCAGTCTGGAGGCTTTGGTTACGTAACTGCGCAAGTTGATACCGAGAACATTGGTAGTAATCGGCTGCTCGAGAAGGTAGGCTTCAAGAAACAAAAGACAACCGTTGCCGACTACGAAAGTCCAGTACTTGGTAGTGTTCGAGACAGTTTTCTTTGGCAACTTGATAAGCCGCTTTCTTCATAGATTCAAGGACGGAAACGTTGTTTCCACATGTGTAGGTCCAATTCATGTTTAATGCGCGCGAGGGCGACGCAGCGAGCCGTCGTGAATAATACATTTCATAACACACGATGCGAAGCAAGATAAGGCCACATTTTTTCAAAGACTGACTCTGAATTACTCTCTCGATAGAGCACCGACAGCAGCGGCCATATCAGGGATCTCGTCGGCGGACCTGGCTGGTCGACCCCATCGAATTATTCCCTCAGAGTCGACAGCCCAAGCTCCTGCAGTCTGCCATCGACTACCGGATTCGGTGGATCTGACATCGATTCCCTCTGTTTTCTTTAGGGTGCTAAGCGTGCTAAATGTAGTCGGGTTTAAAACATGCCATAATGAACTAATGCCAAGACCCCAGCGCGCATAAAGATCCCGAGTATCATCAATGATCAGTTTTAGGTTTGATGCTTCTGCATCCCCCTGGGACTGGAGAATTGCCCTCAACCAATTATCCGTAGACGGCTGGTCGCTATGTGAGACGGCCACAAAGGTGTAGGATGGATGCGCACTCGCAGAAGTGCGCATGCTCAAGTAGGTCTTTTCTGCGACTGAGTGCAATTGTCAGGTTGTCAGGCACTGATACTCTAATATGGCTGCGTAGAGCTTACAAGGACAACCGCAATGTCTGAGGAACACTACAACGGTCGGCTTCCCATCCTCACATGGGATTTTCATCTTTGCAGTGGATGGTGCTGGCCTCCCGATCTCAGGCGTATCGGACACAATGAGACGCTTGGGTGACAGCCAGGATTTTAACTCTTGAGTAAAAGTCATGGGGCTGGATGTACGTAGATTGAGTATGTTAACTTTGACCTTCAGCGTCTCCTACCTGAGAATCAGGAATAGTGACTAGCTGATCAACAGATACAATATTACCCTAGTATTGCCAACCCGACAACCGCGGGAGCAGATCCATATCCTGAGTGGACCGTCGTCCTTGGCGGCCTTGCTTGTCCCTGGCCAGCAGGAAAATCTGCTCCCGGCTGGCAACACGCCAATATGGTCTGCCACCATCCACCAAGGCAGCCTTCGTACATCTTCTAGCAGACTTCTTGTTCTCAGCAACACCTCAAACATGATGCTTCAGTCGCTTTTTGGTCCTTTCTATGAGATAATAACTGCAATCTGGTAGCAATGCCGATACATACTCTCCGTCTACCCGCCAGGCGAGCTGGCATGTTCCTCCATACGCAAGCACATTCGACTCTCAAAAGGCAGAAACGAACACAGTTTTCACCCATTGAGAAGGATCCAGAGCAAAATATAACAAAAGGGCGATCATGGTATATCCCAGGCCCTGCATGGCTCTGGTTGGAGCCAGTCGTGCAACCGTTTCGCGCCTATGGTGCTGCGCAAAGAAGAAGACCACATTTGGTACAATGGCTGAGCACCATAACAATCTACTTCTTGGGCGACTTGTCGGCACAGAGAGCCTTGCAAGAGTCCGTAGACGAAGTTGAGCAGGAGCCTTGGTATGATACTGGCCGCGCACTCCGGTCGCTGACAATTGGCGCAATCTCATCGATTCCATCATACAGATGGTTCATCTGGTTGGGAGAATCATTCAACTATTCCTCAAAATTCTTGTCTCTTGCAACGAAAGTCGCAGTGAATCAGGTCATCTTCACGCCCGTATTCAATACCTACTTCTTCGGTATGCAAAGCTTGCTCAGCGGCGCAACATTAGCTGAGGCTGGCGGAAGGATCAAGAATACAGTGCCAACGAGTTGGTGGAATAGTTGTAAATTGTGGCCGGCAGTGACGGCTTTCAGCTTCACTTTCATTCCTTTGGAATATCGTAGTGTCTTTGCTGGTGAGTCATAGCCACAGGCTTGCAGCTCGTTTCTTAACTCGCTCGTGAAACAATGAACATTAGCAACATTACGCCCAAACAGACGAGCACTGAGTTCAAAGATACTGACTACGTTTATCAGGAGTGATAGCTATTGGGTGGCAGACCTATCTTTCCATGCTGAACCAAAAAGCAGCTAAAGCTGAACGTGACGCAATAGAGTGTGCCGTTGTGTAGCCATTTAATCAAGAACCTAAGCAGTGTTTTGGGTGACTAAAGTTGGGATTTGGCGTTGTCATAATGTACCATACTACGGTGCGAATCACTACAAATAGCTCTTGGAGCGAAAATCGAGCACTAGATGAAGTATGACTTGTCGTCCATTCATCGGGTAGTCAACTGATTAATATACAATGCAAAAGGCACGGATTCGTGCACTAGCCCCCGTAACCGTCATAACCAGTGGGCATATCAACCAAAACGCCTAGTGAACCCCTTCATCCTCCGAAGACACGAAATAAGAAAGACGGCGCTTAAGATCGCTCACCACGGAGACGACGAGCAAGTTGAATGTCTTTTGACTGAATGGTGACACGCTTAGCATGGATAGCGCACAAGTTGGTGTCCTCGAATAGTGAGACGAGGTAGGCCTCGACGGATTCCTGAAGAGCGCCAATGGCAGAAGACTGGAAGCGGAGGTCGGACTTGAAGTCTTGGGCGATTTCACGGACCAGACGTTGGAAAGGCAACTTGCGGATCAAAAGCTCGGTGGACTTTTGATAGCGGCGAATTTCACGGAGAGCGACGGTACCTTGAGTTGTGTTAGTAAAGTGTTGTTATACAATCGAATTCTAGCGGGCTCACCAGGCTTGTAACGGTGAGGCTTCTTAACACCACCGGTCGATGGTGCGGACTTGCGGGCGGCCTTGGAGGCGAGAGCCTTACGTGGGGCCTTGCCACCAGTGGACTTGCCTGTAAATCTCGTTAGTGGCTACATCAAGCAGAATAGACGATGATGTGAGTGGAGAAGCTGGTGTCACAATTCCGATGGATGTAAAAGAGGATAACGTACGGGCAGTTTGCTTGGTACGGGCCATTGCGAGGGATTTCCGATGAGTTGAAGATGGAGATGTGTTGATGATGATGAAGTGGAGCGGTTGGTTGGTGGATGGAAGAGGAATGGAGCGAGGCGGGCGGTGACAAGTACTTATGGGAGGAAGCGCGGGGCGACGGCTGCCTGGAAAATCGAGATCAGGGATCAGGCGCGTTGCGTGGGTCGGTGTCGTTGGTGCGGGATGACTGTTTTAGCGCGTTGTTCATTCACGAAAATAAACCCCAAAAAGGTGCTGGAATCCAGCCGCTCTTTCTGACTATTTACCGGGGCTGCTGATTGGCCGATGTAGCAAGTTTGATAAGCGAGACGGTCGGAGCAAAGCACTAAGCCCGATGCAACGCCTTAGCGTGAGTCCCAATGTTGATGGTCGCGCCACTACGGTGTCTCATAAGATATCCTCTCCTTCGCCTCAACTAATCCCGTTATCCTCACATCATCCAAGTCATCCATTCTCAGACCAGCCAGACGTCTTCAGCTCGTCATCTCCCTACCACTAAAAACTTCCTTCTACAAATAACTCTCAATCAAAATGACTGGACGTAAGTACTCTCTACGCCTTAACTCCATACGGCTTCTTCTCGATAATCCAAAGTGCACGCTTGTCTATACTTTTTATCCACTGACACATTTTCAACAGGCGGCAAAGGTGGCAAGGGTCTCGGCAAGGGTGGTGCCAAGCGTCATCGCAAGATCTTGCGTGACAACATCCAGGGCATAACCAAGCCGGCTATTCGCCGTCTCGCTCGTCGTGGTGGTGTGAAACGTATTTCTGCCAGTATGTTCAAGCTTGGTTGTCATAAGAGTTTCGGACTAATACAATCTAGTGATCTACGAGGAGACTCGCGGAGTCCTCAAGACTTTCCTTGAGGGCGTCATTCGGGATGCCGTCACGTACACTGAGCACGCTAAGCGCAAAACCGTCACGTCTCTTGATGTTGTGTACGCTCTAAAGCGACAAGGTCGTACTTTGTATGGATTCGGTGGTTAAGCGTTCTTCTTTTGCATGCATCATGACTTTTCTCTTTGGCCTCGCGACGTCACGATCGCGCTCTTGGTAGGCCTGTTGGTTCCGGGAATGGGGTTTGCTGTATCATACTGGCATCTGGAGTTTTGTGGACAATGGGGTTTGTTGAATGATACCGGGCTAGCTGAATAATCATATTATCCGTCTATACCGTTATACTGGTCGTGTTCCCTGGTCGTGCAGTGTTTGTTCGTCTATTCCATATGATTGCACTCTTGGTCAGCTACACGTTCGAAGTCTGGTATGGTTTGTTTCTTAAGGGCATATTTCAAGTGACACCTACCTCTCCTGCGACGACCTGGTAGCTCATGTAGGTACTCGTCAAAGTTGACTGGTGTCCGAACGTGACTGCATGATGTCCTACAATAACAGCAATCACTACCAGTCTTTACCAGCAATCACTACCATTCTTTACCAACTCATGGACAGAGGACTCTGCTTTTGCGTATCTCTGATGCCTTACTTTCTGTTAAACACATACCTAGTGTATGCACATGCTCTATCGTTCGTTCAGCAATCCAAACCCGATCATCATTTTTCTACCATGGCTTTACTACCGACAAGGATACCACGAGGCCACAATATTGACTGTTTGAAGTAGTGTTTCTATTTTTAAAAGAAATGCTCATGGGCTGATTTTCGAAGGTCCCCTGTGCCTCTACCTTCGCTTTCATCAACCCAACCTATCTCACTTATGGTTCTCACGCACGCCCCACGCGCTTTGTTGTTTGACATTTTCGGAACCTGCGTTAATTGGAGAAACACTGTCACTAGAGTACTCAACGATACAGTTCGCTTGCGCTTGAGTGATGCGACAGCGTCCTTGGCTACTTCAGTTCGCATCAGAGCTTCTGACATGACGATCGAACGCTGGGGTGACTTTGCTCAAGAATGGCACAACGCATACTATCATTTCACTCAATCAGTTGCTGCGAAGCCCACCGCCACCTGGAAATCTGTCGATGAACACCACCATGAGTCTTTGAGGGGTTTATTGGAGAAGTGGCAGTTGGTTGGCCTCTACGACGACGAACAGATCCGCGCCTTAAGTCTTGTCTGGCATAGCCTAGACGCATGGGCAGATTCATCGGCAGGTGTCACAGAGTTAAACAAGTATTTCTGGACGGTAACGCTATCGAATGGCAACACCAGTCTCCTTAGTGATCTCAAAACCCACGCGCAGATACCTTTTACACATGTATTCTCCGCCGAAGATTTTGGTGCGTACAAACCTAATCAAGGAATATATCTGGGGGCAGTACACAAGCTTGGCCTGCAGCCCAAGGACTGTGCTATGGTCGCTGCGCACTTGGCTGATCTCAAGGCTGCCAAGTCGTGTGGTCTGCAGACTATCTATGTTGAACGTCCTCATGAGGAAGCATGGACTGACGACCAGATTGAGGCAGCCAAGAAAGATGGATTTGTAGACCTCTGGGTGGCCAGTGACGAGGAAGGTTTTATTGCTGTCGCTGAACGGCTCGGTATTGAGGTGGATAGAACACGAAAGAGGAGTCGGTCAACCTGAGGAACTTCGCCCCCTGGTACGAGGTTAGATGAGACTATTCAGGGTTCATAACTCCTAGCCCAACTGAGAAAGCTATTGACAGCACGCCGTTTGGCCGAGAGCGGGGGTGGAGCGGTTTAGAGCTCTATCTTAGCCGGACGTAATAAGGTACTTGACCTGCTGTTTTTTGCATTGTAGTGATCGCAGCTCTATATAGCTCGAACTCAAATTCTTAGATTTACCTTAAGGGTCTCTATCCTACCTAGACCGAGTTGTATGACGTAGGTAGCCTACGCCACCAGCAGTGTCCCTCCTTCGCAAGGACGACTCAATCTCAAGCTCGCGACTGGTCGATATGGCTCCCAATCATGTACAGGATGATATACATGCCGAGTCGCTTCGCGACCCGGAAACCTTTTGGATGAATCAAGCCTCCCATCTCGTCTGGGCACGTCAGCCTATTTGCGCACTTGAGCGCTCGACTAAGAAGCTCCAAGACGTCTCACATGATCATTGGGCTTGGTTTCCAGGCGGTGAGATCAATACTACGTATAATTGTGTTGATAGGCATGTGGAGGCGGGTAACGGAAATAATGCTGCAATATGTTATGACTCGCCAGTGACCAAGAAGAAGGAGCGGTTCACGTACAACCAGGTGCTGGTTGAAGTTGAACACCTGGCTGGAGTGTTGAGAGAGGAGGGCGTTCGAAGGGGAGACGTTGTCTTAATATATAGTAAGTTGTCTCCCCTCCTTAATAAACACTAGGTATAAAAGTGCTGTTGCTGATATGCGCTGAAAAGTGCCAATGATACCTGCTGCTATATTCGGCATGCTTGCCAGTGCACGACTGGGTGCTATTCATGCCGTCGTATTTGGTGGATTTGCGCCGCAGGCTCTCGCTCAGCGCGTAGAAGCTTCCAGGCCGAAAGTTATTCTTACGGCATCATGTGGCATCGAAGGTCTGAAAGAACCAACCAGCTACCGCCCTTTGGTTCGGAGGGCCATTGAGATTAGTAAATATAAACCAGAAAAGGTTCTGATATGGCAGAGGGAGGAGTTGCGCTGGGATGATGTAGACAGAAGGCAGGGCGAGAGCCAATGGGCTCGTTTAGTCAAAAGTGCGAGAAATAGAGGCCTGAAAGCAGCATGTGTGCCGGTGAAAAGCGAGGAAGCGCTCTATATAATATACACCTCGGGTGAGTCCAGGATTATTGTTGCACCATCAACTACCACTCGCAACAGCTAATCAGATAATGCACAGGGACCACGGGACTTCCTAAGGGTGTCGTTCGTAATTCGGGAGGCCACGCAGTCAATCTACACTTTTCGATGAAGTATCTGTTTGGGATTCACGGGCCTGGTGACACTATGTTCTGTGCTTCGGACATTGGCTGGGTTGTCGGCCACAGCTACATCGTATATGCGCCTCTACTTGTAGGCGCGACGACGTTGTTGTTCGAGGGCAAGCCCGTGGGCACTCCCGATGCTGGCACATTCTGGCGAATACTTGAGGAGTATCAAGTCAATTCGATGTTCACTGCACCAACCGCTTTAAGGGCTATTCGAAATACCGATAACAACAACGAGTTCTTCAAGGCAAGGGGCAATAGAGAGGGTCTCCGAAACCTACGAGCACTGTTCCTCGCTGGTGAACGAAGCGAACCTTCCATAGTGACGATGTATCAAAATCTCCTGGTTAAGTACTGCGCACCGAATGCCGTGGTCATTGACAACTGGTGGAGTTCTGAGTCGGGCTCACCCATTACTGGCCTGGCGCTATCTCCAATGACCGGAAAGGATTTTCAGAACAACGAGAGGAGTTTACCTATCAGTATGAAGCCCGGTAGTGCTGGGAAACCATGTCCAGGGTTTGATGTTCAGATCGTCGACGATGACGGCGAGGTCGTTCCTAGAGGCACCATGGGCAATATTGTCCTGGGCGTTCCTCTTGCACCGAGTGCATTCACCACTCTATGGGAGGATGAACAGAGGTTCTATAGTAGCTACTTGAAGCGCTTCGCAGGCAAATGGGTGGATACTGGCGATGCGGGTATGTTGGACCAGGACGGTTTCGTGCACGTTATGTCAAGATCCGATGATATTATCAATGTTGCAGCACATCGCTTTAGCACAGGTAGGTCCTTGACCCGTTTCATCGGATCGGTCATGACGAGCTGATGGTCTACACAGGATCCATAGAACAGGCGGTATCTTCGCACCCAAGCATCGCCGAGTGCTGTGTCGTTGGCATCCCAGATGCTCTGAAGGGACAATTGCCATTCGCATTCGTTATCCTATCAGGGTCAGATAACTCAGACTCACCTCTACCTTCCGAGGCCCTATTACGTGAGGTGCAGAATTTGGTACGAGACCAGATTGGCGGTATCGCGTCTCTTGGCGGGATGCTACAGGGTAAGGGAATGATCCCTAAAACAAGATCAGGTAAGACGTTACGAAGGGTACTTAGGGAACTCATTGAAAACGGTGTTCATGGTGATTTCGATAAGGAGGTTGGGGTACCGAGTACAATCGAAGACTATGATGTGGTAATTGTTGCTAGACAAAGAGTTAAGATGTATTTCCAAGCAGCTGGTAAGGATTTGCATAAGGCCATAGAGCCTAAATGTAGTAAGCTTTAGTTATTTCTACTCTCCCTTATGGAGAGATAATTTATCTCTACTTTATTCTTATAGAATTTTCTTAAATAGGTAATGTCATCTATCTATAAATTGGGTTCTCTAATTATAGTTTTTAATAAGTATAGTGAAGTTAATATAGATACTCAGAGTTATGCATAAATCACGTGGTTCGATAGTTGGGTAATCCATTCATTAGTGGGATGTGTGTATACCATTTCAGCTCTCTATAGACTTCCAAAACCCACAACCTCCAAACACATCGCCCTCACCCATTCACTCGCAGAGCATTAACTCGTTTACCGCGGAAGAGTGATTTCTGGTTTCCTCACGCACAAACTTTATCGTTCAATCCTATGGAAAGCTGGCTGAAACGGTCTGGCGCGTCGGGCTTGGATGACTTTGAACTTGTTGATTTTTCGGATACTGGGCGCGGCATCCGAACGCTGCGGCGATTCGAGGAAGGAGAGGAGATCCTCACCATCCCACATAGCGTTCTTTGGACAGTGAAGCACGCATATGCTGACCCAGTCCTTGGGCCAGCCCTTCTCTCGGCGCAGCCGCCCTTATCTGTCGATGACACGCTGGCCACATACATTCTCTTTGTTCGGTCGCGCAGGTCGGGATACGATGGTCTCCGAAGCCATGTAGCAGTACTTCCTGACAGCTATACCTCGAGCATCTTTTTTACGGAGGCTGAGTTGGATGTTTGCGCAGGAACATCGCTCTACACTATCACGAAGCACCTGGTTCACCAGATCGAGATCGACTATAAGGAATTGGTAGTGCGACTGTTTAGACAACACCACGAATTATTCCCACGCGACAAGTTCACGATCGATGACGTAGGTATTCAATATAGGGATACTGCAAATCGGCTACTGACACTTGTCTTTAATTTTTCAGTACAAGTGGGCACTCTGCACCGTGTGGAGCCGTGCAATGGACTTCAAGCTACATAATGGAGATTCGTTTCGACTGTTGACGCCCTTCGCAGATATGTTAAATCATTCCATCGAGGTTGGGCAGTGTCATAGCTACGATCCTATGTCTGGAAAACTCTCTATTTCAGCCGGAAAGAAATACGAACCTGGAGATCAGGTACGTCGGTCTTATTTTCTAAACCGCTAGTCGGCGCGCTTAACTAGATGTGTTCTTCTAGGTTTTCATCAATTACGGACCTGTTCCAAACAATCGCCTTTCACGTCTCTATGGGTTTGTCGTGCCCGGTAATCCCAATGACAGCTATGATCTTGTCCTCGCGACGCATCCCATGGCACCATTCTTTGAGCAAAAGCACAAACTCTGGAAATCGGCAGGGCTAGATTCGACCTCTACTATTTCTCTTACTCTTACGGAGCCACTACCAAGTAGCGTACTTCGGTACCTACGTATTCAACGACTTGACGAATCTGATCTTGCCGATGTGACATTACGTCATCAAAACGAAGCTGCATTGGAAAAGATCAACGATTTGAACGAAGTGGAAGTCCTGAAGTTTTTAGTAGAATCGATATCCAGTATACTTGATGGTTTTGGGACCAATCTAGAAAAACTAGAGGAGCAACTTGCAGAGCGCTTCTATACTCCGGCAGGGAACGCATGGTCGGCAGCGCACGTTAGTTTGGGTGAACAGCGGGTGTTAAGATTGACTAGGAAGACAGCCAAGGACTTGTTAGAGGCGGTGGAAAACAGGAATGGGAATAATAAGGCCTTCTTGTCGACAACGGACCAATGTGCGCTGTGTAACAAATTTTCCACGCAGTTGATGCGGTGCGGAAGGTGCAACGGGGCCATGTATTGCGGGCGGGCTTGCCAGGTGGCCCATTATAGAGAGCATAAGGCAATTTGTCGAGCTATAACAGCTAATAATAGCTCTAGAAAGGGCTGAAAGCGAAATATCGATCGGCTTATATATATTAATAAGTCTCTTTCTTATGATTAAATTTTATAAACTTAACCTCTACTATAGGTTTTATATATATAATAACCTTATTCCTACGGAATTATAAAAAGATATAATAATAATAATAATAATAATAATAATAATAATAATAATAATAATAATAATAATAATAATAATAATAATAATAATAATAATAATAATAATAAT